AGGTGGCGCGTAATAACTCGGGCTGCTCTGCATTGCAATGAAGGAGTTATTTTCTCGGCGAGGCCGGGGCCGAGCGCTGCCGCCGCTCCCTATTGTGTCCCTGCTAATAGAGTCTTACTGTACTTGATGGAATGTGCCGTGCAGCTGGGGACAGTCCCATTGTGCGGGCCCGGCGCGGTCTGTCTCCGGGCACAATCGGCCCCCTCCAGCTACGGCTGTGTCCGCTTGTGCGCTGCTCGCCCTGGGCTTTCTCTTCCCCGTCCCGGGCCGAGAGCCCCTCCCACCAAACTCCCGCCCGCGTTCTGGTTACACGTTTCCTTTCACGGGGGGGGGGAGGCCACTTCATGAATTTTGCTAGGTGGTCCTGGGCCAGCTACCCCCTGGATGGGCAGGGCCTAGGGTGGAAAGGGCGGGGCTTGGGATAGCCTCTCCCCCACAGTTGTCTGGGGCTGGAGGCTTTGAATTAAATGCACAGCAAAGGGCTCGCAGCTCCCGGCCTCACTGCTGCCACGTTGCCTGCCAGCGGGGGGGGGGAGGCCACTTCATGAATTTTGCTAGGTGGTCCTGGGCCAGCTACCCCCTGGATGGGCAGGGCCTAGGGTGGAAAGGGCGGGGCTTGGGATAGCCTCTCCCCCACAGTTGTCTGGGGCTGGAGGCTTTGAATTAAATGCACAGCAAAGGGCTCGCAGCTCCCGGCCTCACTGCTGCCACGTTGCCTGCCAGCCGCCGGGGTCGCTGCAGCTGTTTAAAAGGTTCCCGGCTCTGGCCCCTGCCAGGTAGCGCCACGGCTGTGAGCCGGGAGCCATTGAAATAGGATCCTGCTGCCTGAGCCCCTGCCTGGAAATGCAGTGGCACAGGCAGCAGGGTAGAGGAAGCAAGTGGCCAGATGTGGCCCGTGAGCCAGATCAGACTGTTAGGCGGCCGGATCCGGCCCATCTTGTTCGTGGTGCCGCAGGGTTTCGGTGGCTCGCGCTGATCGCTGGGGACCGGGGAAACGGCTCCTACGTGAGCATCTCCGCAGAGTGTGGGGGCTGGCATCTGCTGTGCTTTGTTTGCTGTTTTAACCGAGAACGTGAGAGAGAGGCCGGGCAGTCTGTGGGGTCTCGTCCGTCCAGCAGGGAGAGCAGGAGCGTTAACGAGGGCTGCGGGCAGCCCGTCCCCCATTGAACCCGACACGGGGGTGGTGCGGTCCCTGCTGTCAGAGCAAATCTTTTGGCTGATTGCGGGGCTGGGTAAATGGCATCTGAAAGCACGCTGGGGCATTGTGCAGTTCAGTGACCATTAATGATCGCCATTTGAAGTTCACTAAACTTCTGAGCACCGGAGAGCAGCTGCATAACCAGCCGGCTGACTGGTGCAGCAATCACACACCGAAAACCCAGCGCAACCCCCCGCCCGGCGAGGTCTGCTGTTCGCTGCCTGAGCCCCGAGCCGCGGCGGCTGTTCGCAGGAGGCCCGGGCTACCTGGGTTAGCAAGTGAGGCGTCTGGGTTCATCGTAATCCAGGTAGACGTGTGAGCGAGGGGCTTTCGTGGATCTTGTTTCAGCTGATACTCTGAGCCCCGCTGAGCACTGCTAGCGATGCAGCAAGGCACAGGGCTGGGGGGGAATTCGCTCTGTCCAGCTCTGCACTTTGTGCTGGGGGTGGGGGGGACAGGAGGCTGACTGCCCCAGGCAGGAGCTCCTCCCTTTCTGGCTGTTTAATGCTGAGGGATCGTTAGCTGTCCCATGCGTCCTCTGCCTAAGGGGGTGGGCAGGTAACCTGGCTGCTGTCCCCCAGCACGGGACTAAAGCTCACCAGGGGCTGGCGCCTCTCCTGCCACACAGCCCCCAGGTTCTGAGGTGCTCACGTCCGGGGAGCTTAGGGGAGGAGTAACTGGCCCCGGCGCGCTGCCTGTGCCCCTTCCCCAGAGCTGGCTCAGGCCCCCTCCTACTCTGGGGAGCGCAGGAGGCCACCAGGGGCCTGGATTTCCTTCCTCAGGTCTCCTGCTGTCCCCAACACATGGCTAGCCCCAAGCCCACAGGAAGGCTGGGCAGGGGACTACCCGGGGCATCGGAGCCCTTGCCACTGCCCTGCCATGTGACCTTTGGCAAGTCCCTTCTCTTAGGTCCCTGATTCCCCTTGTCTGGCTAGTGTGTCTGCTCTTCAGGGCAGGTGTGCCTGTGTGTCGGAGCCCCGCCCGGCACAGGGCCCTGTCTCGTTGGGGGCCTGGGGCCCTCGCTCTTGCAGAGAAAAGTGAGAGCCAGGTAGGACTGCCGCCTGACGGGGCTCCCCTCAGCAGCACAGACAACCCGCTGGTCCCGCCTCCTACCCCCGCAGTCCCAAGCCGTCCGCCTGCGCTGCTGGCCCGATGCCCCGGAGAAAACCTCAGCCCAGGTGAAATGGCCAGTTGCTGGGCTGGGCCCGTCAGAGACTCAGGTGGTGCAGACATTAGGCAAACTGTGCTGGGGTGTAAATGCTGGATGGTGCTAGAGCCGTCTTGCAGCGTGGGAATCCCTCTGCTCCGCCTCCTCTCGTGTCGGCCAGCCTCTGTGTGTGTGTGTGTGCGCGTGAATCGGCAAGAACAACACGCTGGACTCACTGCCGTGTGTGTGTGTGTGCGCATCAGCAAGAAGAACATGACGGACTCGCTGCCGTGTGTGTGTGTGTGCGTGCGCGCGCGCGTGCGTGTGCATCGGCAAGAACACCACGCCGGACTCACTGCCGTGTGTGTGTGTGTGTGTGTGTGCGCATCAGCAAGAAGAACATGACGGACTCGCTGCTGTGTGTGTGTGTGTGTGTGTGTGCATGTGCGCGCGTGTGCATCGGCAAGTCGTACACGCCGGACTCGCTGCCGTGTGTGTGTGTGTGTGTGTGTGCGTGCATCGACAAGAACAACATGCTAGACTCGCTGCTGTGTGAATGTGTGTGTGTGTGCATGCATCGACAAGAACAACACGCCGGACTCGCTGCCGTGTGTGTGTGCGTGCATCGACAAGACCAACACGCCGGACTCGCTGCCGTGTGTGTGTGCGTGCATCGACAAGACCAACACGCCGGACTCGCTGCCGTGTGTGTGTGCGTGCATCGACAAGACCAACACGCCGGACTCGCTGCCGTGTGTGTGTGCGTGCATCGACAAGACCAACACGCCGGACTCGCTGCCGTGTGTGTGTGCGTGCATCGACAAGACCAACACGCCGGACTCGCTGCCGTGTGTGTGTGCGTGCATCGACAAGACCAACACGCCGGACTCGCTGCCGTGTGTGTGTGCGTGCATCGACAAGACCAACACGCCGGACTCGCTGCCGTGTGTGTGTGCGTGCATCGACAAGACCAACACGCCGGACTCGCTGCCGTGTGTGTGTGCGTGCATCGACAAGACCAACACGCCGGACTCGCTGCCGTGTGTGTGTGCGTGCATCGACAAGACCAACACGCCGGACTCGCTGCCGTGTGTGTGTGCGTGCATCGACAAGACCAACACGCCGGACTCGCTGCCGTGTGTGTGTGCGTGCATCGACAAGACCAACACGCCGGACTCGCTGCCGTGTGTGTGTGCGTGCATCGACAAGACCAACACGCCGGACTCGCTGCCGTGTGTGTGTGCGTGCATCGACAAGACCAACACGCCGGACTCGCTGCCGTGTGTGTGTGCGTGCATCGACAAGACCAACACGCCGGACTCGCTGCCGTGTGTGTGTGCGTGCATCGACAAGACCAACACGCCGGACTCGCTGCCGTGTGTGTGTGCGTGCATCGACAAGACCAACACGCCGGACTCGCTGCCGTGTGTGTGTGCGTGCATCGACAAGACCAACACGCCGGACTCGCTGCCGTGTGTGTGTGCGTGCATCGACAAGACCAACACGCCGGACTCGCTGCCGTGTGTGTGTGCGTGCATCGACAAGACCAACACGCCGGACTCGCTGCCGTGTGTGTGTGCGTGCATCGACAAGACCAACACGCCGGACTCGCTGCCGTGTGTGTGTGCGTGCATCGACAAGACCAACACGCCGGACTCGCTGCCGTGTGTGTGTGCGCGCACATTGGCAAGAACATGACGGACTCACTGCTGAGTGAGTGTGTGTGCGCGCGCATCGGCAAGAAGAACACGACCGACTCACTATACACACACGACTGCAAGCAGAAGTAGACTTTGGTGCCCTGGTCAGTCCCACTTGCTCTGTGATCCCCTTCCCCCATCCAGAAACCCCTCTAAGCAAGTCCCCGAAACCCACCATTCAACCCGTGTCCCCGCCGTGCTTAGGAACGGAGCAGAGCTGGCCGGTGGAAATGCAGGCCCCGTACTAGCCTAATCATTCTGCCAATGGAGCCTTTATCTGCGGATCCAAAGCAGCAGCCCGGTCGCAGAGGCCTCGAGGAGTCGGGTGGGAGGAAATGACTCCACGGTGGTTGTTGGGCTGGGCTTTGTTTAGCAGTGGCCCGGGGCGCAGCCAAGCAGACTCAGCAAGGCAGGCAGCGCTCTCTTGTGTCTGGCCCCACCTGCTCCCACTCGCCTCCCCCGGCGTTCGCGCCGTGCGGGTCTCATGGCCGCCAGGGCTGCTCGTTGGCCTCCGGCGGTTTGCTTGGCGGCGGAGGCTCCTCTGCTGACTGGGGGCCGCCGGGGAGCTGGGCCCCCCGGATGGGGCACACACGAGCGCTCGTGTGGCAAGAGGAGTTGTCCACCTGCCCCTTCATAGCCCCCCGAAGCAGGGTATTTCTGCCTCGCCCGCACGGTCCCTCTGCAGGGCGAAAGAGCGTTAGCGCCGCGTTACCCAGAGCAGGACACGCCTGGACCCGGGCAAGTCCCCGTGCGCACTGCGGGCCGGCCTGGCTGCTTGTGCTGGCAGGAGGGGGAACGGGGTTTGCTGAGGCTCCATGCTGGTTGCGCCGTAGCAAGCCTTGCGTTTGCAGCCCCAGCCATGGGGGGAGGGCA